AAAGGGGGCCAAGAGGTGATCTGGAGGGGGGCGGGGGCCGACGCACCGAAGAAGCGAGGGCCGCCTCCTTCCAGCGCTCGACACTTGCCGCCGTGCGGGTCCGCTCCAAATGTGAGTTCAAAGGGAAAATAATAATATTAATAATAATATTAATAAAGGCGAGGTAAAAATCTCTCTTTCTCTCTCTGTGATGTAGCCTGTTCGGCGCGACGGCTCTGCACGTGGCGGGGTTTCGCTCCTGTCCTTCTCTCTCTTTCTCTCTCTGCCTCTCCCGGATTTCCCTCGGGGCGCCTGATCGCCACTCGGGAGTCCCGCTTGCGACCCGAAATGAAATGGTCCCGATCCTGCCTTCTCCGCGGGAACCGCTTCCTTCCAGGTGCCTGTGCAAGGAAACCTCTGAGCAAGGACATGTGTGGCGCTTCTTGGTGCTCGGTTTCTCTCTTACCCCGCGTGTTTCCAGCCAGAAAAAAATTGTGTACACATATACACATACACAAAAGTATACATACACACGCACTTATACATATATATATATATACATACATATTATATATAATATGTATATATGTATGTGTATATGTACGTGCGTGTGTATGTGTGTGTCTACACAGATATATGCGTGTGTGTATACAGTGTATATATATGTGTGTGTGTGTATACACTATATATATATGCACATATATACATACACACATACATCATATATATGTGTGTGTATATATGTATATATAATGTGCGTGTGGGTGTGTGTATGTGCAGGCCATGTGCGGGTATAGAAATATATGTTTGTGTGGGCATACAATGGGATCCGCACGGTATTTGTTGCCTTTGTTGATGCGATCCGTGATGTTTGGACTTCATGGTGTGGTTCTGCGGTTCTTGGTCTTGGTTGGGGCGGGGGTGAGGGGGGAGCTGGGAGGATAATGAGTCGGGTCCTCCCGGGTTAAACGAAATGATCTGGCAGCACTGCCTCCCTGCCAATGTTCTTTAAATACGACGGTAAAGAGGCGAGCTCACGGCTAGGATTTCCTCGGGACGGGAATTCAGGGTTAATCGTTCAAACCAAACCCTTCCTTATTCTGGACATGAAAAACACCGCCTGGATGCGGAAGGAGAATGGAGAAACACCCGCAACGGAAAAAAAAAACCCCAACCAAACTCCAACAATATAATGCTTCCATTACGAGCAAAGTAATATACAAAGACAACAGACAGCTTATTCCACCACCTCACTGCAGAAGTTCCCAATCCTTTTTTAATACTTATTCTGTAGGACTGCGGTGGTTAAAGGGAAACATGATTTAGCAGACATTATTCCTAAAACTCAATCCTAATGTATACCATCTATCCCATGGAAACGGGTTAAGAACTCAGTTGGCAACGTGTGTGTGTGTGTGTGTGTGTGTGTGTGTGTGTGTGTAGGGGAGAGAGAGAAAGAGAGAGAGAACGAGAGGGAGAGAGAAAATAAATAATAAGAACAATTACAATGGCCTATAATAAACAATTGCAATTGGGAATGCCATGAACTCTGTACATTGGATTAACCTCAGATGACCTTACCGCAATTGTATTTATTTATCCTATTTTGTAACAGGTCGCTACTGACAGAAAAGATAGAAGTCAATGAACAAACACTTTATTTTTAGTTTTTTTAGAATTGTATTTTTTTTAATGTCAGTTAACAAGCATGTCAATGCACGTCACTGAACCTAGTGTATTGGAATTGTTCAGAGCGCTTGTGATGTGGAATATGGCTTGGTTCTGCAATGGGATGGGGTAAGAGGGAAGGTAAGTATTTATGTATGTATTTATTATTATTTATCACCATTATTCTTGTAGATAGGATTTATTAATGTGTCTGATGGCTGTAAGTTGGGATCCCGTTGGAGTGGCTGGGCCCAGTGCGTTTTCTTACTCGGTCTAGCATGTAATGATTCGGTGTAACCGGATTCTTGAGAAAGGACAGGTTACGTAAACATTTACTGATGTGGAGTAACTATACTATTTGTACTCTGATATGCAGGAAGGAAAGTGTTGATTAACACAGAAGAAAAAAAAGCGAAATTAGCTGATTGCATGCTCATAAGTGCAAGCTGTCATTGAACTGCTTTTAAAATAGACACAGCTGGGTGTTTGTGTTGAAAAATTTCTTGTGTTTTTGCTAATACTGAAATAAGCATGATTTTGTATACCAAACATTTTCAGATCATTAAAATTTGTAATCTGTGCTGGTTTGAAACACAAAGAAAAGAAACAGATTCATTTCGCTGTAAAATTTGCTGATATTATATTAACTCAATCAGGTCTGTACAAATGGTGCATTGTGCCTTATCAAATCTCTTTGAGCCACTTAATACACAAAGTACCAAACGTGTGTATTGTTTGTTAACATTGAACGTTTTATTCAAATCCCAGCTCTGCAGCAAACTGGAGGAGATCTCGTTTAATGTAACACTGACATCGCCTGTTGAAATTTTAATGCTCTGAGGTGTTTCTTAGGTCAGAGCTCCGTTTACTTTGCGTTGTGATCGGAGACGAAAATGTAGCAGGGGAAAAAATAAACATTTCATCATCGTGCATTTCGGATCGCGAGGCTGAGAACGACAGAAATGTGCGTTTCAAATGCCTAATAATCCAAATTTAGTGTCCAGCCATTTGTCATGGCTGCAGAATAAAGCGCTGTACCCAAATTTAGGATTTATTTTTTTTTAAATACCGTGGCAATGCAATTTTCCCTAAAAAGGAGATTTTGCTGCCAAAATGTTCTACGTGTCTCTCCCAGACCGTGACGGTTTATCGACTCTGTACAGGACACGAAAGGAAATGTAATAAAAAACCACGTCGATTATTATTTTGATGGACATTAACCTTCAAGGCCTGTCTGCTGTTTTCTCCTCCCAACAGGAAATTCTCAGTTTCTAGCATGCAGGCTGTTTGCTTCGGGCATGCAGAAAGTGCTAGTGTATATTAGTTAGGTCCCATATCCTGCCTAAGGCAGGACTCCCATTCATGTCGAGGCGTGCAGTTTTGCCTAAAACCAGGGCAGGATGACGCCTAGCGGGGCTGCCCCCCCCCATATCTACCCTGAGTAGAGCTGTGGGAAGATGGCCTGGAGTGGAAACCTTGGCTGAGCTGGAGGCTCTTGTGTGGGAGAGGAGAGGAGCCTGCGCTGCACTGCACTGGATCCCCAAAGGGGATCAGCAAGGAGTGGGCTCTGTTCTTTGTGCGACCAGGGTTTCGCAGACAGCCGCTTGCACTGGCTCGGGGTGCAGTCACTTGCTGTACCTGCTACACGACAATTCAAAGTTTAGAACAGATCGACCCATTAGCTAGAATGGGAACATGGGAGACAGTGTTCCTCTCGGGGGACAAAGACCAGGCTCAGGATGACTGTTCCCATGTACCAGGACTCTCCATCCATGCAATGCCTCGGCCTGATTTTTTTTTATTTTTTCTGTTTTTTCCTTTTCTTTCTTTTGCCATTCTCCTTTACTCTTAATCTTTAAAGGGCCAAGGACAATCCTACTTCCCAGTACCCCGAAAGAGCCCAGGTACGGTGTGAACTGTTTTGTTTTGTTTTTTGGTATTATTATTATTATCAGAACTAAGGGGGCGGGGGGACTCCTTGCTCCCAGGGTCTTACAGGGGCTAAGCTGTTAAAATGTAATGACAGCTTCATAAATGAATTAGAGTTTCTTCAGCCATGAATAAAGGGTATTTAATAAC